ATCATTCAAATGTACTGCTGAAAAGCGGTTGGTGTATCGCAACCAACTGAAAATACAAGTGTTTGATTTCGCCGGATGCATTTGTTTTATTCTCGTGTCTGGCTGTCGCAAACAAAACACTATCCGGATCCTGCTCGACCAATCAGCGATTAGCGAACCTCCGTAGAGAAGGCGACGTGTTGCTAACCTCTGGGAGGACTGCGCGTTTTCGCGTACGCACAGGACCGCAACCAGCATTTGGCCTTTAGGCTTCAGATTCAGGACATTAAGTTTAGAGAAGTCTGTATTAGGTTATATCTCATTAGAGGGAGGCGCTTTATCCCCCGCTTACCTCTCCCCCTCTTGGATATCGCCATGGAGTTGGGGAGAGGGGTCATTTTGACAGCCGACTATTATGGGTTTCTGTTGCTTTGGCAACAGGTTTCCACAGCCTTCCTTCCTTGACAACGCCCGTATCAGGATCAAAATAGGTTTTTAAAAAGTTCCTCAAATTTTGAGGTCAGCTGAAAATTATGTCATAAGATTATGTAGTTTAGGCATTAGGTTGGAGATGGTTAGTTCTTATGATCAGACATCCTTCACTAGAAGGCAGGGAGAAAGGAGTAATGTAGAGAAAGACTGACCCTTCTTGCTGGCTCCGGAGGCGACCTCTGACAGGTATCTGAAGTAGTCTCCTTTCATCTTGAGGTAGAACACCTTGCTCTCCGCCTGAGTTGCATTGGCGATGAGGAATTTATCCAGCAGGTTCTGAAACGTGCCACAAAACACACATTTACAGTAATTTATGACACTTTTATCCAAAGAAAACATCTGTATAGTTCTGTACATGTGTACTTGTACTGCAACTGTTAGATCTTATATTAATCTGCATTGTCCTGCATCTGGTTACAATAGGCATTTTTAACATACTATTAGCAGGTGCTTTTATCCAAAGCAACTTGCAGTGAATTCAGAAATATTTAGTTTTGGGGTTAGGCACCTTGGCTGTGGACATAGGGGAAATTGAACCAAGTACCTTCCGGCTGGGAGTTGGTCTCCTCAACCTAGCCACTACATTACCCAGGTCCTATATAGATAGATGTCTATGACAAACATTACTCACTGTTTTCACACACAAATACCACAGTTTGTGGTATTTGTATTTATTTGACATTTGTTTATACTGAAATGATTATGATACCATGAAACCCCTTCATGCTCAAAACCCTGTTCAGTACATGATATATATAAATCCTTTAGAGGAATATTTAGTTATTACGTTTTGAATTGGAACTTTTGTTTGGCCTATTTACGGTCTCAACTGGTTATTAATGAATATCATTTTAGTTTCTGTTGTCATATCATTTCATATCAGCATGACAAGCTGAAATATTATCCTTAAACGTGCGCTAAGTAACTGTTCTACTGCAGCCAGTTACTCCATTGAAAAATATCTGAACTAGAAAATTTCTCAAGAATGAAACGCGCCCATCCATGGATCAATCCATCCAGGGAATTTTTCTCTATAAATTGTTTTATTCTGGTCCATGGTTCACGCACAGAATGCTACCAATGTTTCCCTGAAATGACTGCCATTTTGGATTTGGCCAAAACAATCATACCATGGAAACACTAGGGGTCCCTGTTGTGTAGTTTTCCATTTTGAAATGGTAGTAGCATGGATATATTATAAGAACTGGATACACATTGCTTTCTGGGATAGTTTAATTAAGTTTAATTTACCCTTACACCCATGGAGCGAGCATCTGCATTCGCTCCATCCTTAGGGCCATCTGGAAGGCAAAAACGCCACTACACCTAGTGTCTACACCTACTGTTGAATCAGGACACCCTACACTACATGGGAGATGTAGGGAGACAGTATTGGGACAGGGCACGAGGCCTATAGCGTGGCTCACCAGCACGTCCTTGCAGATCTCCTCCAGCTCCGCCTCGATCTTCTCACGGTACTCGCGGGCCATCTGCTGCTTCTTCTCGTTGCCCTCCGTCTTCTGCTCGATGCTGGAGATGACGCGCCAGGATGAGCGACGCGCCCCCACCTGGTAGGGAGGAAAACAGCAGCAAACAACAAAATCAACCCCAGTCACACAGTCATGACATCATAAGTAGACTCTATAGCCATGTCAGGCAGTAACGTGCACCAGCGAATTTAGTAGGGCTGGCATCACAGGCAGCAGACCACCACAGGCAGCAGACCACAACACCCAGCCTCTGCAGAGCGGTATGGTGAATGTACACTTCACCACATTAACATTTTTTTTTAGATGTGCCAGATTTTGTAGGGATGGCAATCACATTATTTGAGCGCATGTGCCACCCCCAGGCCCACTTGTGGACACACCCCTGGGGTCAGGTGCTTCCTAATTTCTTTACTTGTGTTTTTTTTCTTTTGTATTATTCTTTCAGTTTGAGTTAAGTTTGTATGTGCAATCCATAAGACATAAACCACAACAATCACAGGGCAGTGTCTGATTAGAGCTGAACCAGTTGTGGTTGTTGAGTCATATGTATATGGGGTGAGGGTGACTGCTGACTTATAATCTATAGATCCTATTTGTTGATGAGTTTTGAAAAGTCTCATCAGGGTCCTGTATATACAAAGAGGCGGTGATTCATAGCCTCGAGTGAACTACTACCAATAACTTGCAGTGTGGTGCGACTTACTGGGTGGGACATTACACACAGTTGTTGATTGGGAAACAATGTGAGTGGAAAAGCAGATAAACAAAAATGAAAGAAGTTGGGCCACAAACATCTACAGACCTAAAAAAGGTTGGGAAGCACTAGTCCACCCTATTAAACTGGAAAGGTATGAAAGCACCGCTTGTACAAGCTAACGTAACCACATGAAGGGTTAACAAGCCACTAAATAGACACGTTCTGCTACGCATGTCTCAGCAGCCAGTCATCCGAGTTTAGCAGCTATGATTCATAGAATGTCACTGCTACGTCACACAATACAGAGGCCGAGCCGGGCTGCCCAAGGCCCTTAGTAGGCCCTGAAGACAAGCAGCTAATCCCCTCCATTTAATTTCACGCCGATGGGTTGAGATTAAGGTTTAGAGAGACATGCTTGTGCCACAGTTCTCTATAGGATAGCATGTAAGCGCTAAAAAGATGTCCAAAATAATGACCCTTTAGGTTAGCGTCAAGATTCTTGTATTCAGAACATTTTAATTGGTTTTGAATTAATTAAAAATGACACCTACATTTCAATACCTTCTTTGAAACACGCCTTGTGGTAAAATAGGGCCCTTGATAGTATAAGTGTCTGAACTGTATTTACACTTAGGTGCAACTGGGTTAGCTAGCAAACCGCAGCAAAATGAATCAGGTATGGAGTAAAATACTAGGGAAGCGTTTCCTGACCATGTGGGTTCCCCCTATATGTACATGCGTTCGCAGAAGATTTCTTACTTATAACCGATAGATGTTTGATCATCAAAAAAATGTCATTAATACTATGTGATTCGTAGCCACAAGCAAACTACTTAGCGCAGCGCAATGTATCATACGTTCACTGGGACATTGATATTGCCTGCAGAATTTGATCGGGTTAAAAAACAATCAGCTGTGGTCACAATGATTTTGAGACCTAAAAATGGGGTCACAGGCCAAAAAAGCAGTTGGGTGTCACTGAAATAGGGTGTTTCGGGGGACTAGGGAGAGGGTACATACCACGTTCTTGTAGGCGACGGACAGCAGGTTGCGCTCCTCGTTGCTTAGCTCCGCCCCCTGCTCTGTCACAGCCTTCATGGCCGCCGTCATGTCGTCATAACGCTCGGCCTGCTCCGCGAGCTTAGCCTTCTGGACCTGGTCGTTCTTATCCATCGCTAGGCTGGAAGACACACACACACACACACACATTAGTTCTCAGTTTCTAGACTAAATGGGAAGCCTCAAAAGCAGCATTGAGTCACTTAAAAATGAACCAATAAAAACTAAATCACAGGAACAGTGGTAAAATGATGGCTGTTTCTTATTGGCTGACATCAGTCTCAAGTGAAGCCTGGTGATACTAATGTTTGAATGGAAAGTGTGACTCGGACACCAGCATTAGTCACAGCAGTAGTCGCTTTGGTTGACAGTAGGGCTTGGTTCCTGTTTCTAGGCTGGAAATGTCTAGAAAAACCAACATAGAACTGACTTCCCCTAGTGAGGCCCGGTTTCTGTCTTGAGTTTCTATTCAACTGTCCTTTTGTATGATCAGTCAGAAACACCGACTTGACACCTTGCTTCATATTAGAGGAGCTACGAAATTTACAAAAAACACGTAGCCGTTCAGTTTGACTGACTTTCCCACAATGCCATTATAGGTAAAAAAGTAAATAGAGATGCATAGAGACAATGTTCTACATCATATGGGGTGTAATTCTGGCCAAATCCACTGGATCAGAAAAAAATATCAGGTAGTATAGCGTTGATGGACGATTCTGTGCCTGAAACAGTATGCTGAAATACAGCTTGAAGCACCTGTAGCTCAACAACAGGTTGAAGAGAGGAGCAGCTTTAGCAGTGGTTTGAGATTAGCTGCCACTAAGTAAGTATTTAGGACCAGAGATATTGAATGGGCAGATACTTAAGGTTGTTGCGTCAGTGTCAGATTGGAAATGAGAAAGTGGTATTGTGCCACTTGGATTAAGGGCCCCTATTTCACCACCAGATGTGAGGTCGAGTAGTCATTACAAGCCATTTCAAAATATATCCGCCTGTGACATCATAAGTGGGAGTGTCCACCCAGATGTATGATTAATGTTACCATCTCCCCAGTCAGTCACCTTACGACTGTACTGGTAGGCTGGAGTTGGATCCATCATACATCTGGGTTGGCCCAACTTGTGATTAGGGGTGCAAACGTGTACTTGAGTAAGCGAGTACTCAAGCAAACCATAAATGATGAAAATATTTTAATCGAAATCATTTTGTTGTCATTTTTCAAACATGGTGGACGCTTTTATCCAAAGTGTCTCACAATACCGTGAGTGCATACATTTTCATCATGGGCAGTTCCAGTGGGACTCGAACCCTTAACCCTGGCAACGTTAATGCCATGCTCTACCAATTGAGCTATTCTGGACCACATTTAAAAATGTCCCCAATGGGGACACATTATTAGGCTCGCTGTTTAGAAGTGTATCCTGCCAGCTCTACAATATTAGAAAGCAGGTAAAAAAACCTGCTTGGCCATACATGTCGTGACTTGAATTTCCATACGTGTACATTGGTGAAAACGAATGCCCACAAAACGAGTACACAAGTACTCGTTGAGATTTGAACAATGTATTCGATTAGTTTTAGGGTATTTGTTTGCATCCCACTTGTGACGTCACTATAGGGTAGATTTTGAAGTGGATTGTTAATAACTAATCACCCTCACAGCTGGTGTTAAATAGATGCACTTTAATGATTTATTTTGAGATATTCTTGTCATATTTGGTTGGCATGGCACCATTATGAAATATCGATGACGTATACGATACGAGGTTTCGATATCTAATCGCTAAATGTGAAAGTAACGATAAATCCAGATCGTCCCATTCAGGAACTACATGTACAAGTTAGCGCTATGCACGCCCTCGTTGGCACACACCGATACCGGGTTGACACGCTGCCGTCCTCGTAAAACACACACCGATACCGAGTTGACACGCTGCTGTCCTCGTAAAACACACACCGATACCGGGTTGACACGCTGCCGTCCTCGTAAAACACACACCGATACCGGGTTGATACGCTGCCGTCCTCGTAAAACACACAACGATACCGAGTTGACACGCTGCTGTCCTCGTAAAACACACAGATACTGAGTTGATAGCGAAACAAACGTTTCCACCCACTAATTCGTGTCGTAAAGTTGTTTAGGTTTGTTTCGCAGCCTATCAACGAAGTACCCGTGTGTTTTTATGAAGACACATGCGTGCGCACACGCGGATAGCGTCAAATACCCGATAAGACCATGGAGAGTATCGGAGCGTGATGGGGATATATAGCTGAATAAATACCGTCCACGCTCATGTCCCCGCTAAAATGTTGTCGTTGGCCGATTATGAGGTCTGGCTGAACTCGCCATCATTCTGGTATAGGGGAAAAAACACCGGTTTGTTTCGTTAACCAATCACAATCGTCTTGGGCGGCGCTAAGCCCAGGACGCAGACAACGGTGGCGGAAGGGGAGGGGTTTAAACCGAGTCGGCCAATGGCAGCCTCTGGGCGGGCTCATACCAACAACCTACATCCGGTAAGCCAGACTATTGGCCGATGTTACGAAGTTACGTAATGGATTAGCTCCATTAGTGACAGAAGCCCATGTATTGTACAATACAAATTCAAACTGTCAATCATATTTATATTGCGTTTTTAGATTAAGGTCTTATGCAACAGCGAGACTATAGAGTTAGTATTTAGTATTTTACATTGCTTGTATTGGTAATTTTTGTTATTGATTAGCCTTTGGTTCTCAGGTGCTTGTCTCCTTATTCCCAGGCAATACCGCTACACAGCCTACAGGCAGGTTGTCCGTTGGGCCCGTTATGGCGTCCTGGGCAGGCGCATAAGGAAGCGGTTGCCGTTGTGTGGTCACCACTATAAAGAGTTTCTAGGGGAAGGAGGAACATACAGTGGCTGTGGCCTCATTTGGCTGATGATCAATACATGTCATTACTAAAAACAAATGGTGTCATATTGGCAAACATTAACAATCACAGGTAGAAGTCATAGATGAAGCAAATACAACTATGCCTACAAGCAGCCTAATGATAACCAATAAAAAAGAAGAGTATCAATTGTTTTGATTGTTTTTTTTATTGTAATGCAGTTGCAGGCAGATATGTTTCTATGCAGCAAGGACTGGTTCTGCTCATTGCCATATGATGCACAGACCTACAAGAAATTACAGTACATTAGAAAAGGATACATTGTCAGTACAACCCAAAACAACAACAATGTTACTCAATGAAATGCACAATTATAGTAACTTGCGAGCTGCACAAGAGATAAACATGCTGTAAAATGTCAGGTTCAGACTGCTGAGATGGTTCCTCATCAGATGACACACCCATCAATTCCTCAATGGGCTCCATGTGCTGTCCCTAGGTTGGTTACTCTACAGATTAAATGAATCCACCATCATTCTGCTCAGGCCTGGGTAGTGGAGTTGATTTCATTGACCCTCATGGGACATGCATGGATAGCTAGGATGAAAAGAAGAATATTAGGTATTACCAATGAATGGTTATTGTGCAACATAATATGCCTATAATGTGTTAGTTAGGCTGACAAGATGCAAGGGTTCAGGTAGCAGCGGGGGCCACAGTGCAAGTGGATTGAATAACTAATCTGTCCCTGAATAGTCTGTCACATTAAAATAAGACAATTATCACAGTCACAAGAAACATTGCGTACGAAGAAATCTGTGCATAAACCATGCGTAGGCAGTTTTTCGACAAAAGTTAGGACTTATCAATTTTTCTTGGCTTGAAAATGTGCATACTTTGGGAGAAAATGTACGCACAGGGTCTTTAAGCAAGTGGTAGAGCGAATAGGAAAATCACCAGAAAGAAATTGCAATGCAAACATGACCAGTTCATGCTTTTGACCAACTTATGCAACAATACAATTTCCCCCTGGAAAGTAACGTGATTTTTAATGAAACCATCGATGTAGTCCTACACCTAAAGTAGGCCTATACGATAATTGTATCAAGTAAGATTGATAATTGCCCATTAATTAGATAATTAAACTATGCTGCATATTACTAACTGAAGTCATGTAGTAAGTCATGAAATTCTGTAAAATTACAGCAGCTGTAGGAGGTGCATGCGTCCAATAGCTGATCTAGTGTTGTTAGGGGAAGTGGTGGGGGCCGTGGGCTGCGTAAGAAGGGAGCATGTTTTCAGACAACGCACCGACTTGTTGGCGGTGTCACGCTGGCACATCTCAGCGAGCGTTAAGAGACATAGCAGGAGTTTCCCAGCCCTCGCTACGCTGTTTAATGCCTGGCGGCAGTCGTAGCTGGTATCATCACTTTACGCGTACAGTAAATTCAATTTGTTTCCATACACCGCTGCACAACAGAGTCTGTTGTGTCTGCTGTCTCTGATATCGGTCTGAACCGCTAAAAGAGGGACCTCCAAACTAACATTTCCAAACATCATAGGAGCGATAGATTGAAATCACCATCCGACAATTAATTAAATTACGTAAACAGAAATGCACTCTCCAATGACGCTGGCGATGCGCATCTCTAGAAGACTCGGTCAGCCTCAGCCCCACACCAGTTCGGCATTCACACTTTTATAGCGCTTGATTTTAGATCAAAATACTTGTAACCTCTGATAAGCTACTGTGGGGTAGAGGGACCTCCGATAGGCTACTGTGTGGGGTAAAGGGACAGTGTCCTCTACTTTGATTACATTTCTGTCACAAGAACATATAGTTCACTATGTGATACATATATTTTCTTTATTCATTCTTTGTATTTTCCCGTTCACTCTTCCAAGCCATTCAACAATTGAATTGTCCATTTCCAGTTTGTCATATTCATTCACACATTTCCCATGGCGTTAAAGGGGATGTTTTCTGACCATATATGGTTATTTATGGCCCCAGTATGCGTCGGACAAGCCTAAGAACGCTTGATTAATCCCAACGTTTTCGTGCGTGCACACTTTCTAAATTTCATGCGTACGATAGGATTTAGAACTTTTTCTATAAACTCTTGATAAATGATGGCCCAGGATAAAAGTTAGGGGTGGGAAAAATAATCGATTCGTCGATGCATCGCGATTCTCTCTAGAACGATTCCGTCTTGATGCAGACAAGTTAATAATCGGAATTTTAAAAATTAAATGAGTTTGCGTACTGCACCATTCTGTTCGCCTGCTGCTGAGCGCTACGGAAAAACTCCTTTCTGCCTGCCGGTTCTCTGCCAACACGCATGCGCACCAAACATGTGCAAGTTGTTTACATCCAAAGTTTAGTGGCGACAAAATGGCTGCGAGCGACACCACCTGCCATTCGCGACCTGTCGCTTGACATTGTGCTGTCAAAATGGCGTCGATCTCGCCAGCACGCCAGGATTTTAGCCCGGTCGCGCACCACTCAGCTTTTTTCAGCTTAGTGCGACAAAGCGGAAACAGGAAACTGGACGAGTTCGAAGGCACATTTTAATGCGCCTTATTGCTAAGGTTTCTTTCTTTATATATATATATATTATAGGGCCTGCACCAGCTTCTTTAAAAGCTGCGATATGGCAGCATTTTGGGTTCTATGACGTCGATGGGAAGATGGACAAGACCTACACTGTGTGTAAAGTGTGTAGAAGTCAAATTAAATACTTCGGAAATACAACCAATTGACTAAGAGCAGCTTTTTCTTTAATGACAGAAAAGAAAGATTAAAAAGAAAAGAAATTAATCTTTTTTTTTTTTTTTACATACTTCCACATTGTGTTAAAATGCAAGCTTCATTGTTCATAGAAAGTCATTTGTGACAAGAAAAGCTTTTTCTCTAATAAAATATAGAGAAGGTAATTCATCTGTTGATTGTCTTTAATGAAGATCACAAAAGTAGTAGGAAGTGATTAGCAAAATCTAAGTAGCAAACTCAGATGTATATATATATATATATTTTAAAATCACGCATGAAAATGTACATTAAAAAAGTGTTGCATCGAGATGCATCGATAATCGGTTTAGAATCAAATCGTTGACCTCTGAATCGTAAGGTCAGGGCTCCAGAGTGCGACCAATCTGTCGAGTGCGACGAAACATTTTCATTGGTCGCACCGGTGCGCCTGACATTAAGCAGGTCCGTCTGTGTGGAGCGTTATTTTGTTTCCCCACCCACGTTCTGTGAAGACGTGCCCCTACTATGCCTCTGATTGGCTCTGACCCTGATATTGTTTTTCGGTGAATTCGGTCGCCCCGATACGATCTCAAAGACTTGGACTAACTATGGAGTGTAACTAACTATAAGGCAGGACTCTGTGTCTGCCGTCTGCGATAATCTCGTCCATTATCTAGACGGCCGTTCGTCGCACTCTGCGGATGCATCGGGACCCAGAAAAGTGCAGTGTTGAAT